CCCCCCCCCACGGCTGCTCCAGGGCAGAGGGGGGGTTGCACTCTCCTGCAGCTGCTCCGAGGCAGCGCCGCATCCTGCCCTCCACCCAGGGGCTCCAAGCCCTCCACGCCAGCCCTATAAATACTACCGCCGCTCCAAGCAAACTCCGTCACGCGGCCCTTGCCGCGGCCCCTGCAACCTGCAGAAGCAGCCCTCTGCCCACTGGGTGCTGCGCTCAGCCACCTCCGCTCCTGTCGAGACAGGGGGGCTCCTCCCCACTGCCCACTGGAGAAGGGGGCACGGGAGCAGCCGCCTCGCAGAATCACTCAGTGCCAGCGTGCTCCTGCTGCAGGTTGGGTGCCGATCTCTGTCGGCGCATGCGGGGCGGGATGGGGCTCTCCAGGCCCCCAGGCCGGCGCTGCGGGTAGGGCTGGTGCTGGTAGGGGTAACAGTTATGCCTGCGTGGTGGGTGCTGCTCCTGCCCCTGCCCCTGGCCCCGGCTGCGCCTGCCCCGTGGCCCGCCTTCCAGGGAGTGGCGGCGGGCAGGCAGCTCTGGCAGAGGAGCAGGGCTGCGGTGAGGGTCAGGGCTGGGGGCCGGAGGCCTCTCCTCGCCGGGTGCCCCTTCCTGCTCCTCGCCATTGCCGCCCACCATGAAGGCGGTGCTGGGCCCCCACGAGTAGCGGTGCTGCGGGTTGCTCTTGAAGGGGAAGCGCAGCTTGCAGTCCTGTGGAGGAATGAAGCGGCCGTGGCCCCGGCGCTGCTGCAGAGGCTGCTGCTGCAGGTTCTGGAGGCGCAGCTGCTCCTGGCGGAGCCAGCGAAGGCGCCCCCGGCGGAAGGCGGGGTCCTTCTTCATCAGGCGGGAGACCCGGTCCGAGCACGAGGACCCCTCCTCCTCCTGGGGAGCCGGGCCGCCCCCCTGCTCCCTTGGCTCCCCCTCGGCCGCGAGGACGTGGCCCTCCTGTGCCGAGAGCAGGGACCGCCACTCGTTCTCCAGGTCTTCGTCTTCCTGAGGAGAGAAACAGAGGAGGAGCTGGGAGGGGGGCCCAAGGACCCCAAGGGGGGCCAGGTTCTGGCCCCCTGCCCTGGTGCGGGGGAGGGGGCCAGACCCAGAGCAGCTGCAGGGAAGAGCGAGAGGCACCCCAAAGCTGCTTTGCAGAATGACTGGACGTTTCTGGCGGAGGCCGAGCAAAGGTGGTTTCTTGTGTTTATTTACTGTGGTGGGTGAATCCAGCCAGGTTTGTTGCTCAGCAAGCCAGAGTTAAGCAGGCCTGGCCTAGCGGAAGGTGTAAATGGACCCCCCAGCTGCTGAGTAACTTGGGGAAAGCCTCCCACCCGCCTGGAGAGCAGAAGCAGGGGGTCTGCTCCGCTGTACAGGCAGCGGCTCACCTGGGTCGAGATGGGGATGACCTGCTCCATCTTAACCACCCGGTCCCGCAGCGCCCGGATCTCTTCGTCCTTCATGTTGTTCTGGATCTTCACTTCTTGGAGAATGTCCGTCAGCTTGTCAATATGCGCTCGGAGGTCGCTGACTTCCACGCCCGGTGTGCCGGCCCGGGTCTCCGCGCTCCCAGTCCCTACGCCGCATCCTCCAGGGCCCTCCGACTCACCCACGCCCACCGTGTCCCAGACGTCCCGGGCCACGGCTCGCCAGCTGTCACGCTCGTTGGGGTCGCGCCTGCCGTAGAGTCGGCAGAGCTCCTTCATCTTGACAATGCTCATGGCCTCGATCTCTTGGCGGGAGTGCCGGAAGTCGTTCAGGGCCACCTCGTAACAAATCTCCTTGACCGCCTGCATCTTGAGATCGGCCAAAGTCAGCCAGCGGGGGTCCTTGGCTGCCCGTCGGCGCTGTGGAATCTGGTACACCCGCAGCGGCTCCCGCTTCTTGCCCGAGCTGGGCAGGCCGCAGCGGCGCACAATCGTCTGCACTTTGGTGGCTGGTAGCTTCTCGCGCAGGGAGGAAATGAGCCGCCAGCTCTCCTCGCACGAGCGCTTGTCAGAGTCATCACCGCTGTCCGAATCTGCGTACTGGGAATTTGGGGGAAGGAAAAAGGGATCGTCAAGGGCGTGTTCGCAGCCAGCCTCAGATAATTCCACCAGAAATAGACATGTGCCGCTAAATACAGGGAATGCATTGTGGAAAGGCAGGAAGATGACCTTGAGGAGAACATGCAGGAACCCTTACCTAGGCAAAAGGAGCTAAAGTGTTTTAAAAGTCTAGAGCAGGGTTTCTCCACCTGGGCAACTTTAAGACATGTGGACTTCAACTCCCAGAATTCCCCAGCCAGTGTATTCAAGTTGTCCAGGTGGAGAAACCCTGCTCTAGAGTGTCCAAATAACATTTGGGAGTGGCTCAGATGCTTCCCTAATTCCCTGAGCTATAAAGAGGAGGAGGAGGAGGAGGAGGAG